CAATATATTCTGATTAGCTAATAACTTCCTTATTCTAAACCATGCCCAAGTCGAATATTAGAATAATCTTTGAAGGGATAGTTCTATATTTCCTAAAACTGCAATTATTTCCTTATTTGACAGATTCAAAGAAAACGCTGATCAATGCAGAGAGCTGTATGTTAAAAGAAAGATTCTTTTAAAGAACGGAAAATCTTTGCAAAAATACATAATTTTAACTTGACATTTAATCTATAAACCTTATTAAAAAACACCGCAAAAACTCAAAAGATCAAATGTCAAATTCGAAAGTGACATTAGAAAAAAACAAGTTTCAGCAAAAAAGGAAAAAGTTTAAAGATGATGTTATATATATAATATATGATTATATATAAATATATATGATGTTCATATTTATAAAGAAAAGACTCTAGTTCAAATATGAAAAGGCACTAGTTTAAAAATAAAAAGTCTAAAAATCTATTAAGAGAAGGATTTAACATAGCTCGTCGACAGTTTAAAATTCAACCTTTCGTGCTGACAATGTGTAAAATAAACGTTTTGTAAACCGGATAGTTTAATTAAACCTGCAAATAACATTTATTTTCAATTATATCAACATAAATGCTGAAACCGCCAGTCATCAGCATTCTAACCGGTAAACACCCATTATACTCAACATTAATTAATTCTAATAACAAGCCTTCAAATTAATCATATACAGTATACAGACTAGAATTATTAATTGGCGGATTTAATACAAATGTCCCATGCATCAAACAACAATTTTAGTTTAACAAGATTACGAATTCAAGTTGGTTTATGTGTTAAAAGACATTACGCTAAGTCGTAACCAAAACACAATAAAAACACGATCAGAGGACAATATGATCGAATTTTTATGACATTGACTGAAAACTTTTCAGCTTCGATCCTAATTTAAAAAGACTACTTTTTACTGGTAATGCTTATTTATGATTAAAACTATTATTCTGTTTAAGTCTGTAGAACAACCCGATTTTAGCTGAATCTTAAATGAATATATTTGGCCCAGAGTCTACGGATACTAGAGACGGTCCGTTTACAAATAATTTTTGTTTTTCCCCCGGGGTTAGACAGTGTATATTAGTATACTGCTACTGTATATTAACTAACCAACAAACATAATAAGTCAATTCATGTCATTTCTAAAAATCCGTTTCTTGCAAGTACAACCGATATTAAACTGAACTTGAACCCATGGACTGACATTTTAACAAAATAGAGGGTAAAGATTCACCCCTGTATTGGAGTATTAGTATAATAAGCTTAATTTACCTCAATTATCCCATTTCCATTTTTCAACTGGTGGTAATGTGTAGATGAGCATAGATTGAGCTATTATGGTTAATCAGGGAACAAATATTAGAGATTTAGATACGATCTTACATTTTTTACTTATTTTATACGAGATCATTTTTATAATATTCTACATAAAGATTCATATACGATCTTACATTTTCTACTTATTTTATACGAGACCATTTTTATAATATTCTACATAAAGATTTAGATACGATCTTACATTTTCTACTTATTTTATACGAGACCCTTTTTATAATATTCTACATAAAGATTTAGATACGATCTTACATTTTCTACTTTTTTATACAAGACCCTTTTTATAATAGTCTACATAAAGATTTAGATACGATCTTACATTTTCTACTTATTTTATTCGAGACCCTTTTTATAATATTCTACATAAAGATTAATATACGATCTTACATTTTCTACTTATTTTATTCGAGACCCTTTTTATAATATTCTACATAAAGTATAAATTGTAATGTAAATACCTGGCCTTATACAAATTAAATTAATTTCTGGTAAATTTATAAAAAACATTTTTAAAATTATATTTTCTTAAAATACAAGTTTAGAAGAAGACTAGCCTGTTCGATTCATTCATGGACACTGTATGGACACTGTAAGGACAGAACATAGATAAGAAGATAGGAAAATGACTTGTTAACCTTAACTTGACGAACCATTGATGGATGATTAAAAATATTTATTATCAGCTGATATTTATCTAGTATCAGCTGACATTCATCTAGGATCAGCTGATATTCATCTAGTATCAGCTGGCATTCATCTAGGATCAGCTGATATTCATCTAGTATCAGTTGACATTCATCTAGTATCAGCTGACATTCATCTAGGATCAGCTAATATTCATCTAGGATCAGCTGATATTTATCTAGTATCAGCTGACAATCATCTAGGATCAGCTGATATTTATCTAGTATCAGCTGACATTCATCTAGGATCAACTGATATTTATCTAGTATCAGCTGACATTCATCTAGGATCAGCTGATATTTATCTAGTATCAGCTGACATTCACCTAGGATCAGCTGATATTCATCTAGTATCAGCTGACATTTATCTAGGATCAGCTGATACTCATCTAGTATCAGCTGACATAAATATAGTATCAGCTGACATTCATGTAGTGTAAGCTGAAACATCTAGTATCAGCTGAAATACATCTAGTATCAGCTGACATCCATCTAGTATTAGCTGGCATACATCTAGTATCAGCTGACATTCATGTAGTGTAAGCTGAAATACATCTACTATAAGCTGACATACATCTAGTATCAGCTGACATTCATCTAGTATCAGCTGACATACATCTAGTATAAGCTGACGTACAGTAGCTTGGATTACGTCATCTAGGAAAAGAAGTATTCTGACAGACAACTAGACCTAGAACTAGAACTAGAACTCAGTACCAAACCTGACATCATGAAAGAAACCCACGTGTTTTCTTTCAGATATAAGTTACTTAACAAGGAATTTAAGAAGGTGGGGAGGGGGGGGGATAAAAACCATAAATACTTAAGTGTATTCGTTGTATGTACCTTGAAAATCAATGTGTGGCATGTATGGAATTTATTTTAACGCTACATGAAGCTGCCTTGTAAACCTATACTTTCAGATTTACAGAACATAAGTTGGAATTGTTAAACTCATATTTAAGTGTTTTAACAATCATAATTTCTTATGATAAAAAACTGTGAAAGGTGCTGGATTTTAAGAATTATCTCCATTTTTAAATTTTCATTTTCATTTTATCATTATGATTATATACTGTATACACATTTATTGCGTTGCTAGTTAAGTACAGGAAGATGAATAGTTGTGAATGATGTATGGAGTAAATTCAGAGTTAGGATGTGAATGCGGGAAAATCGGGAAAATATATGTAGATACTAGCTTGGAAACCCAGCGCTGTCCAGGTTAAACTTTGATTACTAAAGTCGATCCATTTAATTTAGAATCTCAAAACCAAGCTAAGAACATTCCCATGGGTCTCCCGAGTTCCCCCCATCAAAATTTTAGGCAAATCGATCCACGGGTTCATGAGTTATGATCGGCCAAACAAACAGACAGACAAAAAGAGATTAAAACTTTATATATAGATATAAATGTAGATATATATCCTATCTTAATATTGAAAATGTTTAATCCTGTCAAAGCTTTCATCAGATTTCAGGATTCAATATTTAGAACTAAACCAACATTGCACAGGGCTTCATTTTCATTTAAATAAAGATTAAAAATAAATAATTTTACAGAAAATAGCAAAATGAATTAAAATAAAAGGACTGTTCAGAAATTGCAAGTAACCCTCCCTGTAAAGTGTAAAGAGTGCCATCAAAATTTCACAAGTGTACCTTTAGACTTCTATTTTTAAGCAATTATGATTTAAGATTTGCCATGGATTTCTACATAAAAAAATGTTCTGATAATTGTCAAAATTTTTCTAATTCTTTAATCAAAAGGGGGCATCTTAAAATATCCTGTTATTTTCCGTAAATTCTAATTTTTTTAATTTTTCAAAATATGTTTTTTTAATTGGTCAAGCTTCATGGTGATGGTCTCGCCCTATCAAATACACGGGTTCAATTGTTTCTTCAACTATATTTGATGTTCTTAAACATTTGAAAATTGTATAATGAATGTCCTTGCAAAGTTTTAAACCATGCAATAAATGAAAAAAGATTGCACGAAGATTAGGTTTTTACACGGAATTAATCCAAATGGTCTTCAAATTCAAATCATTAGTTAACGAGGGAATTATAGACTAAATAATTTTACAATCTAGATAATTTAAAGCTTTCGATCAGAAAAATAAAAAATATAGTTTTTTCAATTTATTTTTTATGAAATCAATCTAATTTAGAAATAAATAGAAGAAATTGCCTTGACCAATTTCTCTGTTTTTTCATCCCTATATCTTTCCAACTCATTATAGTAGAACTTAAATATTTCAAACTATGAATTCTGCAGGATCAAATAATCGAAGTTTGAAATATCAAAGATTTACACCATCAAGTTGCAAAGTTATAAGAATTAGAAAATTTGAGTTCCTGGCAAATAAATTATTTAGAAACCCCCAATATTAAATTATAATGAGCATAAACTATTTACATATAGATAAGGTATTGTTTAAAATCCTAAAAGTACATAAATGGTATAGGATGGATTGTGTGCACTAGTTATAACTCTTCTGTCAAGGTGAGTTTAATTACCCAAGTTGTAAGATAAGCAAATAAACTGAAATTTAAGTGCTCGGTACAAGAACAAATACAACCTTTAGTTTTCCAATTAGATACAACATGTACCTAATTTTAATTTATGTTTATTCTTTAAAGTGTACACTGTAAAGGCTTAGTTTTGTATATGAAATCTATATACACATTTATAAATATACGTATGAATATATATGCATAATTTTGTCCTGTTTTTTTTATAAAAAAGATTTAACTTTTGCTGACCTGTCATAAATGTTTGAAATCCACAATTTAAAAGAAAAACCGCAAAAACTTACATTGTTGTTTTAAAATAATATTTAGAAAAAAATGGCTAACATTAAGAAACATTTATGGGCTATGATTTATTGCAATAAAACGCGACGCAAAGCCAATACATATATATTTCATAGCTTTACAACTTGCAACATTTCTTACCTAGAAATAGTGCAAAGAAGCTGGCAATGAGTGAAGGCGACATTTTATAATGATTGATATGAAGTCACGTGGTTATGTTAATGGTGTACACTCCACGGTCTTGGTTTTTCAAACAACGTTTTTGCGGATTAATTTGAGCAGAAACAGCGCTAAGTCATCAACTCTGCGTTTATACTTTTAAAAACTAAACAAGAAATGCGGTTTAACAACATTAAAGTTTTCAACAAGAAATATTCCTATTTTTATAAGCAATGAATTAAAAGTATAAACTTTCCTAGTATATTTCTGTCACTGAATACTACTTTTAAATCACTAATATATCACTTTTAATCACTTTCAGACTTTGCTAATCACCATCTAAACTAAAGCACTGTTTGGTCCAATAACGATTCGAACATCTAGATTCCATTCTGATCAGAAGCCTCAAAATCTTTCCATTACATGATGTAATTTTAATAAATCTGAAAGTAGATACAAGTTTATATATTTATATATTTTTGATATTTCATAACTGACAAATATGGGCATGTCAGTAGGGTAGATCGTTTTCATGAAAAACGATCGTTTCGTTTTAAAAACGACGAAGAAAAACGAAAAACAAAACGGTAATTTTTGAAAGAGATCGCGTTTTAAAATTAAAAACGAAGAAGTCGTTTTTTTAATTTTTGTTTGTCGTTTTCTTTTAATTGATTGTCATAAAAAAAACTTTTTAATAATTTAAAAGTTTAAAAGTTAAGGTTAAAAGAAATGATGCTAAAAACTAAAAAATATAAAAACTAGATTGCTGTGAATGTTTCACGTATTATGTAGCAGATAGTTGTAATTTGGCAATACGTATAATGTTCTGTAGTGTCTGACTATACAAGTATTCAAAATATATTATTACAAGTCAATGTTAAAACTAGAGTGAAAACCATTGCATTAGAATTAAGAGGGAGTTAAATTCTTGGCTCTGTTTTAAGAATGGGTTAGCCTATTCACATCAACAGTGATTATTCAATAAATAAGGGTTAAATCAAACACTGGCGCGCAAGCTTAATTACATAGTAAAAAGGGGCTACGTCAAATTAAGCTAAACTTCACGTTTGATGTTATATATTTCTAAACATAACTTCTTTTTTTGAAGAAAAACAAAAAAAAGTTTTGCATCTTTGATATGCAGCCAAATACATTTGTTATTTTTATAATCGGGGGTAAAATCAACACTAGAGGATCTGCGATATCACAAAGTTGTACAAGACATTTCGAATGAATTTGACGTTTCCGTCACCCCAGACTAACCAGAGTGAGAAGCATTCGGTTTTTTATTTGAAATCAAACGTGTTTTCAACAATCTCTAAACTTACGGATTTGTTTATTCAAGAAAAAAAGATATAATATTATGCAAAATGGTTCAAATTGTGATCGAAAGCCAAAGCTTTCTGATATATTGACAGAACCGTTAAATCCACGTGCCGTGTGCCGCAAAATCTAGCGAATTCAGTAATTCAATTTTACTTGTTAAAATGATGTAAAAATAAAAAATAATTCGATTTAGCATTGATTAAAAACCATGCTTCCCAAAAGACAATAATAACTGTTTAGATGAATGATAAAGAATTTAAATAGGAAAACTTTAAATTTCAAAGATATGACAGTTTTTAAAAAAAGATACAGTTTAAACATACATTTTCTGAACATCCCTTCATCGGAATTATTCCGCCTTATTAAACAAAGACGACAGAAAATATAACGATAAAACTGTATTAACATCCTTGTTTACACTATTAAACTTCACTTGTAAATGTTTGCGCAGAATCACAGAAAAACCGTCCGGTGTTACTGGGACCGTGGTTGGATGAGAACTAAGTTTAATTTTGACGCAAGTTGACGGCGCCGCAGTAAGCCACGGCGTCGCAGTCTCTGAGACGCAGAGCAACACTGGGAGAATATAGAACCCCTGGCGGGTACTGTAGCCTATATACATATATAAAACGTTAATCTTAAATTTATCTACTCTTCCATCTAGTTGTTCTATGCACAGGATACTTTGGTAAACCCAGACCACGCCCATGGGCGGCATTCGGAGCCGTTGTTATACTATTTAGGGTTGGATCAAGTAATTCAGAATAAAAAAAATATTGACTTGTAAAAGACTTCCCTAGAATATACGATAACATCATTTTATGACCTTCAAGATTGTGATAATGTCGTTCTGAAACTTGCAATCATATTCAAAAATCCCAAAGTTAAAAATGAAAATATAATTTTTTTGCGAAACCATAATAAAGACTTATAAATGATATTACTTTTTAACATTTTGTCTTTAGTGGTGTTAACTTTCTATTTATATTATTGCAATCTAAGAATATTTATCTGTATATTAATTTCAAGTATATATTTCCTAAGAATGTAAAGAATAAGATTCTAAAATTAAATATTGATAAATTTTAGTAAAATCTGGATAAACGCGCCGTTTTTTTTTTTAACTTGAACAGGTTTTTCAAAATTTTGATTTCTTAAAAGCAAGCTTTCAAGTTAGGTATAATGGTCTGACGCTTATGTTTATTGAAGTTTTAAGTTGTAATGCCTTATTTGGCTTACTAAATGCGGGAAAACTTGTATCCTTAAGCATCCTTAATCCTTAATTCTTAACACTTACCGATCCTTACTATACGTATCGTATACAAAGTTTAGTATGAAGTTTCATTGATTGGTTTGAAGTTTCATTGATTGGTTGGAAGTTTTATTGATTGGTTTGAAGTTGCATTGCTTGATTTGAAGTTGCATTGATTGATTTAAAGTTGCATTGATTGGTTTGAAGTTTAATTGATTGGCTGGAAGTTGCATTGGTTGGTTTGAAGTTGGATCGAAAGGGGTTAAGATGCAATGCTTGGTTTGAAGTTCAATTGGTTGGTTTGAAGTTGGATTGAATGGTCTGAAGTTGCATTGCTTGGTTTGAAGTTTCATTGTTTGGTTTGAAGTGGCAGTGATTGGTTTAAAGTTGCATTGATTGATTTAAAGTTGAATTGATTGGTTTGAAGTTTCATTGATTGGCTGGAAGTTGCATTGGTTGTTTTGAAGTTGGATCGAAAGGGGTTAAGATGCATTGGTTGGTTTGAAGTTGCATTGCTTGGTTTGAAGTTTCATTGTTTGGTTTGAAGTTGCAATGATTGGTTTAAAGTTGGATTGATTGGTTTGAAGTTGGATTGAATGGTCTGAACTTGCATTGATTGGTTTGATGTTGCATTGGTTGATTTGAAGTTGCATTGCTTGGTTTGAAGTTGAATTGGTTAATTTGAAGATGTATTGATTAGTTTGAAGTTGGAGTGCTTGATTTGAAGTTGTATTGGTTAGAATGAAGTTGAATTAATTGGTTTAGAGTTGCATTGGTTGGTTTGAAGTTGCATTGGTTGGTTTGAAGTTGCATTGATTGGTTAAAGTTGCAGTGATTGGTTTTAAGATGCACTGCTTGGTTTTAAGATGCATTGGTTGGGTTGGAGCTGCATTGATTAGTTTAATATTGCATTGGTTGGTTTAAAGTTGCACTAATTGGTCTGATTCTGCATTGGTTTGTTTGGAGCTGCATTGATTGGTTTAAAGTGGCAATGGTTGGTTTGAAGTTGCATTGATTAATTTGAATTTGCATGGGTTGGTTTTGAAGTTTAATTTTCTGATTTGAAGTTGCATTGATTGGTTTGAAGTTGCATAGATTCGCACATTTGAACTTGTAAGGTTTGATTGATTTAAAAAAAACATACAAGCTTTGGATTCATAGATCTGAGACAACACACGACACGAGGTTTAGTGAATTATGAAAACACGAGGTTGCGTGACAAATACTCTATAATATATTTATATATATATATAGAAAAAAATTACGGGAAAAAGGTGCAAAACTGCTATTTTGTTGTGCCAAACTTTTTTAGTCTCAAAGAGACGGAAAAAATTGATCAGTACGTATTTCACGTTACCTCTTATCTGTGATTATATACCTGTACTAAATCATTACAAGAAAACATCAATAATTACGTGATATTCATAAGATATGTAGCTGTAGATAATGGTTTAAATATAACAGAAAATTATAATCGGTTCTTTTTAAATACTAGCTGAAGAGCTCGGCGTTGCCGGTGGAAAAAAAAATTTAGAAAAATAAATCGATTATTTTTAGCCTATAACACACCCGGCCACCTACGAGTGTCCACAAAAAAAATTCAGCCCATTCGGTCCAGCCTTTTTGCCGGCTATAGGCAACATATATATATATATATATATATATGAATGTTTTGTTTTATTATATAGATCACCAGTTGAAGAGGCCGGCGTGGCCCGTGGAAAAAAAATAAAAAAATAAAATGAGACAAAGAATAATTAATGAATGTCTTGTTTTATTTTATTATTTAGATAAGATTTTTCATGCATAGCGCTCTTGGTCGTCCTAGACATAATACTAAACATTTTCAAGAAAAAACATATTTTTGTGTTTAATCCGTATTATTGCAATATTTTGAAATATTTAACGTAATAACTTAACTGTAAATTATTTAAACGCAGTAATCAAATAGATATGTCCGTTAGCAAACTTGAAGGAAGTAAAAACAAAACAACATTTACAGTGAGAACCAGAACAAATGGAATTCTCGTCTTCTTCTTTTTCTCTTTTTGTATTTTGATACAAGTGACCTAAAATTATTGGAGATACAAGATTTTCAGAGCCATTCGCACCCCTCTTCTAGCAAAACTTTAAGATAATACGTTGTTTTTAAAGCCGCAACTTTTTTCTTATTGTAAAACTTTAAATTTAGCAAATTTTTCTGTTGAGATTGATAGATTTCTTCAATCTTTAAAATAATCTATATTCTTTTAGGCTTAATTATTTATTTTTTAGCGTTCATAAACCTTCCCTGGGGTTATGTGAGTTGCCACAAAAATATATTAATTGTACACAATTTTAACTTAAGTTACATATTTTTGATATAGCAACGTGATTTGTCAAAACAAAAATAGAGACTTTATTCATTTCTGGTTTTCTGGTTCTCAGTGTAGTTCAGATAAAACAAATAGTTTTTAAGTTTTTAGGGAGCTTTGTTCCTGAAAGGCAGCATTATTAATTATATTCTACAAAAATGTATTAAGTAGGGTAAAAAATAAAAATATTTACCAGGTAAAAATAACTAGAA